GAAACAGGATGACTAATCGATTCTTGAGATTTAAGAATCGATATCGGTTCGTAAAAATAAGAATCGATTAACATCGAGAAATCGATATTTATTACCCAGCCCCATAAAATATACTGTACATTCACCTCAGCTTTTAGATCTAGTAATTCAAAAATAATAAAATAATTAAAGCCACACTGTGGAACTTTTCAACCTTTATAATATAGTATCAAAACCCATTGAGATGGTACATTGACTTACAATAGGTTGAATGACGCGTCTGCCGTAGCCTGAAGGTGTCTGTATCGCTTTTACTAGCACTTTCCCAGACAGCAAACTGACATTGAATCAACGTGGAAACGACGTCTCTCATGACATTGAAACAACGTTGATTTTGCTCATCGAATTAACGTTGAACCAACGTCAGACGCGGCATTCTTCAAAGCTAAATGAAAATCGAAAATTGGTTTGCTTTCATAACGTTGAAACAACGCGTTGATTTCAAGTTGATTTTCCGTTAGTTTTGAAAGAATGACGCGTCTGACGTTGGTTCAACGTTAATTCGATGAGCAAAACGATGTCAGATCAACGTTGTTTCGATGTCATATTTCCACGTTGATTCAATGTCAGTTTGCTATCTGGGTTGTAACTTCAGGTTTCGGGTAGGAACCCGAGGACAAAAAGAACTACAAAATTCGACCGCTTTACGGTGTACGTCACTTCCCCCACCACCCCAAACTACCCGCTCAACTTGCCGTCTGTATGTTTTCGTCAATGGCCAAACAACGGCTACAAGGAAGAAGGCAACGGTTTTATTGAAGGCAACAGAGGAAACTAAAAAAAGAAAAGGGGAGAGTGACAAATTAAAAGCCAGGACGAGGATTAACACTGGTCCAGCTTTAGCTTCGCTCGCTGGCGTGAGCTAAAAGAGGAAGAGAGAAACCCAGATAAATTCATATAAGCAGTGTAGTATTTTCTTGTATTCCGGCCACAGCTGATGGTGTTATGAGTGTAATAAAATGCCCACAGCCCAGTGTTCATTTCGACACACAAACACAGCCCGCCTCAGTGCAGGGCTCGCATTAATAAAATCGACTCGTGTCAAATGTAACGTTACATTAAATTTAGTGAACGTGCCCACGACTCAGTAGTAAATTACCCACAAACACCACATGTGTCACGGTTTCTGTAAAAATTAACTATCACAGATAACGTTACAGTCAGCTCAGGCCGACGGTGTTTTCAGCTCTCTCTCTCTCAGCAGACTGCTATAAGGCAATCGAGCGCGGCAAAGCTGCCCGGCCTGCCTCAAAAACTGCAAGCACACACAATCTAAAGACACGGGAGGCTGACTGGTTGACTGTTTGTTTATTTTAATTTGCGACAGTGCTGCGGCGCTTGTGGCCTCTAGGGACGCTAGACGTGAAAGTTACAGGTCGAGCGCCACTAGTGGCCAAAAGTTCCACGGTGTGGCTTTAAAAAAAAAGTATTTATGAATTGTTTTATGCACAATTCTATAGGTTAAGGTATGCTTAGGCGGCTGCAGTTTTTGGAATAACAAAAAAGTTTTGAGTTTTGAAACTTACAGGGTATTTTTTTATAATACGTATAACAAACTCTTAAAGCCACAATATGTATTTTTTCTGCTTTAAAAATAGCAAATATAACTCTATTTATGTTATATATTTCTATCCCGAAATTATCCCGACAGTTTCCACCAACTTTCAAATACGGAGAAATTTGTAGTTTAATTCGAAGACACGGGACGTTTCTTTATTTCCGTTTCGTCGCCCGTCTATGGCGTCATAACCTTTGACTCCTCTATTTTCTCTAACTTCCTTGCGGAACCCGGCGAAACCGCCAAACACAAAGGGGAACACTGGACTACCGCCAATAAAGCAAAGAAAATGACCAAGAAAAAAAAGTAGTACGTATTTTTATGTGTGTAAATCACGTGCCCGCTCACTCTTAAAAGACACCCTGGTGCTGCTCGCACATAAAGCGCACATAAAAATATGACCCAAGAAGGGTTTGGGACAGGAGAAGCATGACACAGGTAAACATCGGGGTTGCATTTAAAGCTTCTCGACAAGCTAAATCTACAGAGAGATGCCGGATATCCGTATATTTTGTGAAATGATGATGTCATGCCATGAGCTGAGCTGGTTGTCATTGACAGCGACAACAACTCCGGTGAGCCCACGCTCTTTCCCGACATCATCAAAGTACGTCTTTTGTAAAAAAAAAAAAAAAAAAGTATGTCTTTTGTTATTATTTAAAATGAGTGACCCCTGGTGGTCAAAAATCGCATACTGTGCGTTTAACTGTCAAAGGAACAAGGAACATTTGAATTCTCATTCTATGACCCCTTTAATGTCACCATCAGCCTTGCTGAAACGGCATTCTGGTTTATTAAATATTATTTAAATTTAAAGTCAATGAAGATCAGAGATAGGACATATACTCACTTTCCAACAGCGAAGACTGTAGTTGCTATGGTTATGTTTTGTTGTTTGTAGATTGAATCAATCAATATGGGATCAAAAGTTCCTTCCTGCACAACTGGGGCCAACCATGGTGCCAAGGGAAAACTTTACCATCTGGGCTGTTTTAAATGAGGATATTCACATAAATATAAATGAAATCCAAATCCAAATGCATAGTAGTATAAAATAATATATGTATAAAAGAAGAACTGTTTATGTTCATACCCGACTGCACTGGGCTGGTTGTAGGAAAGCCTGTAAAAAAAAAAAAAAAAAAGGCTTGTTATTCCTCATTTTGTAACGTCTGTAGTAGATGATTACAGTCGGCTGAACTTTGACCGTGTCCTAACTACACGCGACGCGACGGCGCGACACGCGATAAAAGGTATCTTTTCCATGTTAATCAGAGTTTTTGTCCTAACCAGACACGCGACGGCGACACGCGAAGTTTCTAATTTAGAAACGTTTCCTATTTCTGCGACGTCGCGGCTGACAGAATGAAGAAATTACACTGGTTATGAGTATACATTATTTATTTTTAGTTAAAAATAGGTCACTGTGCCACAAGCGATAAGGATAATTTACCTCAGAGTTTGAAAGCATGTAATATAGCGTTCAAAATGAATTATATGCAAACATACAACTGTACTTCATAACAAAATTAGTCAATGAGTATATTTTGTTAATGTTTTTAATGTTATTTCTTGATTTGATTGTCCATACCCATTTCCAATGCGAGTGCGGGCCAACAGTGGCATCTCACAGTCGCGTCGCGTCTAGTGTGGACAGACACACTTGCAGTCGCTGGAATTTTATCGCGTCGCGTGTAGTTAGGACACGGTGTTAACATCTAAAGCTCTTGATTGACTATATTATTGTTAAAACTCAGCAGGGCATTAACACCAAAACCATTTCCCTGGTTACATATCAACCTCTGCATTCAACTGAAAAAATGTAAAAATGCTCCTAAGTCCAATCAGTCCAATGGAAAGACGAGATGTCAGGCGGGTGACGTCATCGACCAGGAAATCTTTGCCTTGCTTCTTTGCCTTTAGCAAGCGCTCTCTGTATACTGTCCCTGTCTATTTATTGTTGTCTGTCATCATTGAAAGCACAATATTTTAAAGAAAGATATATATATATATATATATATATATATATTTGGGGATGTCAGCGTCCCCAAATTATGCTCCGAAGAGGGTCATAAAGCAGTCAGTTCGGGTGTTCCCTACTGGTTCGCCGCTTCAGGGCACCGAGATGTCTGCACATCTCAACGATCCTCCGAGACGGGTTGTAGAACATCAGTGAGTCCCTTTAGTAGATTTTCTGGCAGCGTGGAAGCTACTGTCAAATATATCTCATTGGGTCCTGCATACAATAGAAAAGGGTTACATAATTCAGTCTGGTTCTCATCTGCCCAGATTTCTAGGGGTCCTCCCCACTGTGGAACCCAAGCAGGCTCTGGTTATGGAGCCGGAAGTACAGACTTTTCTATGAAAGGGGGCTATAGAAAGGGTTCCTCATCCCAGGGTTTTACAGACGTTATTTCATTGTTCCAAAAAGGATGGGTTGCGTCCTATTCTAGATCTGCACCAACTCAGAAACTCAAGTTCAAGATGCATACACTCAAACAGATCATGTCACAGATTCCGTCCGAGGACTGGTTTTTGACTTGAATGAGGCTTACTTCCATGTATCCATCCGTCCTCATCACAGGATCACAAGTTCCTGAGGTTCGCTTTCGGAGGCGAAGTGTACCAGTATCGGGTTACAAACGCGATGCCTGTGTGCCTTAGTCATGTGGAACAAACCTTGGTTCCTCGCCCAAGGCCAAGTGCTGGGGGCTTCTTGTTGACGCCTAACACTATTGATGGATACTTCCCTCAGAGGTTGGGGGACGAACATGAATGGTCGCTTTGCAAAAGGTCTTTGGCAGGACCATCTACTTTGTTAACAAAGTTGGCATAAATCGGCTGGAAATGATGGCGGTGTTTCGAACACTCAAGCCCTTCATGCCAGACCTGAGAGGTCACCATTTACTTGTCTGCACGGACAACACATCGATGGTCTCTTATATCAACCATCAGGGGGTCTGAGGTCACGTCATCTTTGCAAACTGGCTCATCAGATCCCCCTATGGGCCCGAATTTGGTTCTCAGACCTGGTGTACCTTCTAGACGGCTCTCCGATGGCTGTCCTAAGCAGAGGGGACAAATTTATCGCCCTCGGCCTCACTACTCCAATCTAGAGCTCACTCCCTGAGAGGACTGTATGCATTGAAATGAAAACTATTCTCTGCCTGTTGCGGAGAACGCCAACTGAATCCTGTTAACTGCCCTGTTGGTACAGTACTTATACACAAGTTTCTTTCGCCCCATGAGGCCTTGATAATACTTATCTGGTCTGCATCCTAAACTGAACAGGTTTGGGTGAATGACATTATTTTGGTCAGGTTTTATGTTACAGTTAAAACTGACAAAGATTCTTCCATGATACAGTATGTGTGTGTGTGTGTGTGTGTGTGTGTGTGTGTGTGTGTGGAGAAGACGTGCATGAAAAGAGAACTAAGATGAACTTAGACTTAAGACTTTTCCCAGTTTTCCCTGAACTAGATTGGATCCGACATTTTTATTTATTTTATTTTTATTTTTGTACATTACTCACGATCAAAATGAACTGAGCTTTACAAAAAAGAAACTGAACTTTAATACACAAAAACTGAACTTTATTACATAAACTGAAAAGTATTGTAGACCTTGAAGTGAATTCAATCTGTTGCGGTATCAAATTCTTCATATTGATTACTGTTTTATCATTCTTTGTTTTGACGTGATTGTGTTTGCCTTGCCTTTTTTTTCTCTCACTGTTCCAACTGGTCCAGTATACACTAGTCACAATAAACAGCAAAACTGTTGAAGGAAGTTTTGTACTCACTCACCCATGTGGTGATTGCAACTGGTGCTCTTTTTGGGGTCTAAGAAATAGGAGAAACAGCAGTGAATTTTTGTGTTCTGTAATATAACTTTTGTTTTGTTTGTATGTCTTTATTGGATGCATGTGCAGGCTTACTGCACAGTATATATCATTAGTGCTTGCAATAATGCATGCATTTACCAGGTAGTAGAACATGTGTGATGGAGCTACTAACACATTACAACTAACATACCGTAATAACTGTTGGGTGTGGTAAACCTCTAATGGTCCAAATAACCAGTGTTGGGCAGTAGCATGGATACAACTTAGTGACGCTACTAGTTAACTACATTTCTCAGTGAGGCATGCATATATACTAAACAATATTATAAATACAACACTTTTGTTTTTGCCACAAATTTTCATGAGGTGAACTTTTTGTATGTACACAAAAAGGCCCGTCAAAATAAAAATATTGTTTAACCTTCGAAGAAACTTTAGCTTAAATCATTACATTTTAAATCATCGGTTATTACAAACCGTTAAAATGGCCAAGAAAATTAAAAGAGAAAAGATACATATTTCATAGTGGCCTAAATTTTTTTTTTTAAATGTATTTAATACATTATTGCTAAATTCTACAAGTTTCACGATTTAAATTAATTAGACATGCTTTTTGATTACTAAAATTGAATCTAATAAAATAAAATAAAATGAAGTTCAAAAAATGAAATATATATTTAAAAAATATCTCTGTACTCTCAGTGTCAAATGCAGAAAAGTTCATTCTTGCATTCATGCATTCATGACCCCCGAGGCTTGATTACTGTAATGCTTTACAGGTCATTAGACAGTAATCAAGCAAAAGTGTCCAATAACAGGAAAATAGCAAAGATAAAATACGTAGTATGAAATGAGGACTTTTTTTAAATCACTTGCAACTATAGTGTAGGCCATGTGCATAAATGTATGCTTCTGATTGTGCTTTTGTAAGTGTCTGATTTGAGTGTTTAAGTGCATTAAGAGTGGCAGTACTTACTTAAAGCAGGATCTTTCCTCTTTATTTCTGAAACATAAATAGCCTATGTTTATAATGCTGAAATACTGCATAGTCACAATACATTCCCCTAATTCAGAAATAAGGTATTACTACGGTGGACGAGCATGTACAAAATAAAACACAATTCCAAAAACAAAACAACAAATTCATAAACGAAATGACTTGTAAAAAAGACTTCAGAAAATACCGTAGGCCAACAGCAGACTGAGAGAGTCCATTGGCGTGTGCAAAGAGCTGTCTTGTTTTCATATGACATCACTGCGTTGCCATGGCACGAAATACAAATGGAGGGCAGGAAGTGAAAGCACTATAACAAACTCAAAATGCCTGCGTTTTGAGTCATTCATGGTTACTTGAATCGATCAAACCACAAGGAGTTTTTATTGTGTACCAAAAGTTGTTGTTCATAAGGGGGGAAATGCAAGAAATTGATCAAAAAACTCTGGAAAAACAGTTTGTAAACCTATGTCTGCGGTCAGGAGGAGCCGAATGGGATAATGCTCATGTGTGTAACGTTAGTGATCACTTCGTCAAAGGTGAGTTAATACAACTTAAGTGACTGTTTGTGTAACGTGTAACATTTCCGAACTTTGTAAAGTCAAAGTATGCCTCTATGGCAGGAAAATCTTTCAATTCAGTTGAAAAATCGCTCCTCTTCATAACATAAGGATAAAATCCAACATATGTTTGATTTTTTGTTTATTTCTTTCTCTTGTAATAGCGTGTAAAATAGTACAGTACGGAGGGCTTTCCCCCATCTCGTCCATTGCGCTCTTCACTCCCTGCCCTCCATCTGAATTCTGCGCGTCATCATAATCACGTGACTGAAACCCCGCTATTTAACCGGCTAATTTAATGCGATTAGAACAAAAAACTTTTTATATTAAAATCTTCCTACCATCTGGTTTGATCTGACATTTTAGAGACATATTGTTGCATTTCTAATAGTTTTTTTTTAGCAAAGTGAGTGACATACTCGATATAATGTCAGTTTGCACTTTGCAGCCTTGCATATCATAAAAAACCCCCAAGAATTATCGTAGACGATTCAGCTCTGATATTTACGCATGCACAGAAGATTTATATATATCCACCTTTTTTACTGCGCCCGTTTCCCATGATTCATAGCGGATTCAACTGACTTGACGGTTTTCTACTTCCTGCTGTCTTTTTTTCACTAATTGCATCTTCAATCAATGTTTCATCAAACAATCGCCTGGTTTTAATAAATAATAAGTATAGTAAACAATAGATGATCATGACGGAGGCGACAGCACGCAAACTGGACTTTGGTCTCATGAATGAAACTCGTTAACGAAACTCGTTAACATGAACGTTAACGTTATGTCTTATGTCAGTCAGGCCTGAGAAATACATAGACTATGCATCTTTGAAAGCAGATGGCGGTGTTTCGAACACTCAAGCCCTTCCTGCCAGACCTGAGAGGTCACCATTTACTTGTCTGCGTTCGCGTTATCACCGAGGTTTGTTTACATTCCGTTGCATGTGTCTATGCCGGTGTAGCTCAGTAATGGCATCGCCACAAGATGGCAGCCTACACAAAACGCTCGTCGGATTCGTCTATATGCCTACTTCCTACTATGTAGTAGGCGAAAACAGTACGTGAAAGAAGCAGTACGTTTGAAATATCAGCATTCATAAAAGATTAGGCGAGAAGTTCCCGAATGGCTTACTGCTTCCGCCCAGATTTTTGAGTTCTTTTCCATGGGTACTCATGATACTCATCTATCCCAGGATGCCACGCGAGAGGATACGTCAATATCAACATCGCGGAGATCAGCGACGCGGGGGTTTTCAAATGTGAGTAAACACGGTTCCATTGTGTTTAAATGGGATGTGTTAAACTACTTTAGAGTAAACGTTTTAACTGTTGAAGGTCTAAAGGAGTTAGATATAGTTGTGATTTTGCTGTAAACACATGTTTTATTATGTAAAGCTAGCTAACAGGGGAGCTCCAGTAACCGTAAAGTTACGTTTCTAAAGTGGATTTACATAACCATACGGGGAAATGAAGTGAGTCAAGTTGACATGATTTACAAGATGGATTTCCAATAGAATCAACAATTATATAAGAAACATTACAAATGTAAACATTTAGAAGAAAAAAAGAAAAAACTTTATATCTTTCGCCACCATTGTGCAGTTGACGTCACGGGGTTGGTTGGCTCAAGTTTAACAGGCTCTGGGCATTGAACGACTAATGTTAGGTACAGTTATTAGACAAAAAGACGACGTCTATGTTATAGAGCTGGCTCCCAAGTTGCAATTAAGGACCTGCTAAAGTTCTGTCAGAACTTAATAAAGTCAATTACCGAGTAAAAATGGTCTAGGAGCCATATGATGTTGAGATCTATTATAGAGAAGTTAAAACCCTTTTTTGGGTCCGTCTAGCCTTTTTATTTAGAAGGGAGGGGTATGTAACAGTTCCAGAGTGTTTCCCAAGGGGGTAATCCACCATCCGGAAACTGAAGTCTCCCCGGGGGCCGCCATTGGCCTTCACCTGTGGTTAGAATTCCATTGACTCCCATTCATTTTGGCGTCACTTTAACAGAGAATAACTTTACATCTGAGGCGTTTAAAGACTCCATTTGTCCATTGTTTATTTCGGAAGAAACACGACAATGTATAAAAGGCTCCATTACCTTGTATCTTACGTTATGGCCCCGTTGAAGCAGTTTTTGTAAAAAAAAATTCGCACTTCCGGGTAGGCTTCATTTTTCAGATTAGAATGTTTCCGCTTGGTCTCTGGACATGCCTTCCACACGCTCCAAAGTTTGATTGACACATGTTGGACTAATCATTTTGGGGAAATCTTGAAAAAACTGCCAGGAGACGCAGTATCCAGATTACCGTGAGGACCCGCAGTGTTTCGGACGCTGAAAATTTCTAATCACTGTGTTTCAGACAGTAAAGAAGGAGTATTTTCTAATATAAAACACATACATTGATTTTACCAACTATAAGTTGGTAAAATAATTGTATAAGTGTCTATACACTCTTTTAATCAACAATTGCTCATGTGAGCATTATATTTTAACGTTAACGTTATATTTAAGAATTTTAAATATTTACATTTTTTAAATCCCTTAAAAATTACAAATATTTGCAAATTGTAACATAATTATTTTATAAGACCATAAGAATGTTTCTTGTCATTTTCCGGTGGGTGATCATGTTTTCAGAGCCGTTTTCTACGGAGGTATTCTCCCCCTCTTCCTTTTGTCCGGCCGGAAAACCTCCCCCCCACCATTTTCTGAACAGTCATTGGTGTACGTTAGAAACTCACGTTGATTTCTTTGAAACGACTGGCTCTGGAAGCATAGGGTTTGTCAGAATCGAAAGAGGAGGCGTCAAAGATAAGGTATAGATATATATATGCCGTGACCTGAAAGTGTTTATTTGAGTTTGCGAGAAAAGGTCAAGTGTCCGGAACACAGTGAATCTACGTTACAAGTTTTGGCTGAGTGAGTTTTTTTGCTGTAATGGGACTGTGATTGCAAGTGATCTAACTTTTAGCTGCACTAACAATTGAATTGGTCATCGCTGGATTACAGGTTCATTATTTCTTCTATTGCACACACATTATCCATATTATCATTTTATGATTTTGTGTTACTTTTGATTTTGTAGGACTCATTGGATCGGGTTTTGGGTGATTGTATTATTGTTTTATGATGTTATATATTATATATATATATATATATATATATATATATATATATATTAATGAATTCATTTTGAGCTGCTATTTGGCAATTATATTTGGATGTGATTCCCCCCTTATTTTTTGGCTTCATTTTGTTCTTTGATATCAAACGAGTTGTTACATTCTCAATATAGTTTTTATGAGTGTACTTATCACACACAGTTGAAAAACACTCACCTGGTTGAGATGGAGTTGGAGGTGTAGCCAAAATAAATAAGTCTGTGAGGAAACACCATAACAGATCATGAATTATAAAGTGAAGCAGATCATATATTTTCTAAATTGAATTATCAGATTTAAAGGGCACCTATTATGGAAAATTTACTTTTACATGGTGTTTGAACATAAATGTGTGTTGGCAGTGTGTGAGCAAAACCACCCTAGAATGATAAAAATCCATCCAGTAGTTTTTTTTACAATCTCAATAAATCATATGCACTGCCTCAGAACGAGCTTTTCTGAGATCCAGCTCTTTGTGACGTAGAACGGGAGACAGGGGGTTGATTTTGGTTGTGATTTTTAAAAAATAATTGTCATAAATAAAAATGTGAGAAACCATACTTTGAAGATATTTGATTTTCAGTTTTAGATGGCAATGGTTGATTTGTTTTACTAAAAAAACTAAATGTCACATAAAAATGTACAAACACATACTTTGAAGACCATAATTAAGAAACAATAAGACGTAATATGAAAAATTGTTGTTTATTACACATCTGCAGATAGAGACAGACTGATCATTCACTGTAGCTGCTACAGCATTTGCGGCAGATCAGAAAACGACCACAGCAGCGTGTTTGTAATGATTAGACACAGCTTCCACCATTGAATGAATATATCACTGTCCTTCGTGTCAAATATACATTTCGAATTAATAATTGTTCCTAGATTAACAAAACCTGCGGCGCTCGTTGAAATCCTATTATAAACATAATCCTCTGATCATTCGGACTTGTTGTTTCCAGCCATTTCGGCGCGTGACATACGTCACTCACGACACCCCGTTAGCGATTGGCTATGGCAGATCGTGAGTGACTTTGGGCAGATCCAATAGATTTGAACTTTAATAGTGAACCCGCCTACAAGGAAGGAAACGTTTCTCAATGGAGCGGTTCCAGACTCTATGTGGAAATGAAATGAACTAGAGTCTGGTTGAACCAGGCTATGTTATCTCTACGCTTTTTGAGCTATCCGCGTGTATCCGTGTTGTCTACACCATTGTCTACACCATTAACGTCCGCGTCATTCTGCGTGTCTGTACACGCAGTCAAATCTCCAGTCAAAAATGCCTTTAACCCCAGTGACTATTAAGTTTAGGGATGGGGTTGAGGTAAGACATATCTTTTTTTTCCTAGGATGGTAAGGGAACAGTCATAAATGCCATTAACCCCAGTGACGGTTAGGTTTAGGGACGGGGTTGAGCCGAGGTAAGTCATATATTTATATAACGTTAAGTCAACGGCGTTCATAAACACGGTGAAAGGCGATTATGCATCTTGATAGCACGCCAAAAATGCAAATACGAATTGGCGTGGCATACACACGCTACTTCATGAGATCAGTCTGTCATATGCATAGACAACAAGACATTCTAACAATAATACTAATTGTTTTGCATGGTTTACTGACATGAAATTTGCATACAGAACACGGTGTTACTCTCCTGTCAAGTAAAACACGTGCAAGATCGGCATCTCTTTCTAATTCGAGTTTTTCACGTTGAAAAAAACTCGAAAGATTTTAGTTTGTACTTGCAGGATATTTTTGTCATTGAAGAAATACGTTTCTATGTAATATGTAAAACATACTGTATTTGTTTGATAGGTACGTTTTTTATTTGCAGAACAACATGCATTAGTTTTGTATTTACAAACCACACTGAGTTTGTTTGTGAATCATTGGGTGTGTGTGTGAGGTTTCGGCACATAATTCGCTTCATATTTGCTGTACTACATGCATGATGTGTGTGAAAATGGTTACACAAACACACACACAGTTTTGCTTTTCCGCTCAATTTCCAAAGTCGTAATGATTTTACACTGTACAAACTTTATATTCTACCCCCTTAAACTAACCCTAAACCTACCTATGATGCAAAACCTTCTACATTTTTACATTAAAAAAAATAACTTTAGTATATTTATGAATCCATTTCCCTCGTCGGGACCGCTGGCTGGTCCTCACAATGTAGGTTATTTCAGGTTTTACTATCCTTGTGGGGGATATACACACATGACAGGTTAGCCCCATTTAATTCTCTTTCAAAAAGCCATATGGATATGAAGACAATTGCAATTTCCATTCATGCTGAATTTTACACAAAAAAATTACTCGAAGCTATGCCACTCCATATCAAATCACAAAAAGAGATGTTAGGCACAGTCACCACTCTTTACGCTGTATAGAACATTCACTCTAACATCTTAATTTCATTAAAGAAAAAAGAAAAAGAAAAAAACATGCTTAATAATGCAAAGTGTAATAGTTTGTAATTATTTGAAATATTATGATGTATTTTTAAATATGAAAACCTATGATTTCCACAGTTTAGACCACAAAGACTGCTGTTAATTAAACTGCCTAATTAGACTATCATTTGAACAGTTTTTTTTTGTATCAGTACAAATTAAAATGCCTGTCCTAAACAATTTGATTATTGATTTGTTTTAGTGTAAGATCCAAACACTAAAAGTAATAGTAAGGCAGCTACAAATGACAAAGTAGTAACTACGTACCCAATTATTGAGAGGCAAGCCAACACGAGAATAAAGGTATGTACATTTTGAAGGTGTTTCATTTTTCCTGTAAGATATTAGGTTTTGTGTCCTTATTCACTTGAAGAACTGAACGTCCCACAGAGAAAGGAAGCAAGAGAGAGATGCTGGTAGGTGCGTGTTGCTGACTGTATAAAACAAGGGTATGGCAGGTTTTTTTTTTTTTTTGACTAGCAAGTTGAATTCTTCAATGATGCATTGTACAGTGGTGTAGTGAAGCATTGAGTTACAGTACATTGTTGCACGGGAAACGCACACCAGGTTGAGCTGGTTGTTTTGCATTTGTAATGTGAAAGTGGTACCGGTTTAAAACACAAGCCCAAGTTCTTTTACATGTAGGAATATTTGACATACGCACATTACGCAGTGATCCAGATTAACCCTTAAAGGATTAGTTCACTTTTGAAAAAACTTTTACTGATAATTTCCTCACCCCCATGATGTCATCCAAGATGTCCACGTCTTTCTTTCTTCAGTCGAAAAGAAATTAAGGTTTTTGATGAAAACATTCCAGGATTTTTCTCCATAATGGACTTCAATAGGAAAGGTCAAAAAGACAGTTAATAACAGTTTCAGATGCAGCTTCAAATGTCTTTAAACGACACCAGACGATGAATAAGGGTCTTATCAAGCGAAACGATCGGTTATTTCAAAACTTATTCCAAAAATGTAACTTTTCTAAGGACAAATGCTAGCCTTGCTCTACTCTGTGAGGCGCGTTTGTAACGTCACGTATTACGTAACGTTCAAAAAGTCACGGGCGACGTAGCCGGAAGTACAGAATCAAAATCGTCCGACCTCGTTGTTTTACCTTTTAACTTTTTATTTTGTAAACGGCGTTTGAGTTAGTTTGCACGTTCAACTTATGCGTTCAACTTGTAAACACTCGGACTCTGTACTTACGAAATTAAGAGTAATCCTAGGGCTGGGCGATAAAACGATAACGATAATTATCGCGATATAATTTTCCTCGATAAAACGATATCAAGAGGTCGATAAATGTTCGATAATGTTTATGCGTCAAAAGCGGAACGAAACTCATTTAAACCGCGCGCGCCACACGGAGCATTTATCCGCTCGGGTCAAAGTCCAAATGGCAGCGCACTGAGTGCAGCGCGAGCTCACGCAGACGCGCCTCTGATCGTTTTGCTCACGAGATCCAGTGAGAAGCACTTCAGCGAAGAACACAAATGTCAAGTTTAAACCAGTTTAAAGGCAGATGAAACACCGCTGACAAAAAGGAGAAACACTGCGTGCAACGATACAGTCAGAATCTGAATTGAGACTGAATCCATTTAGCTTCCCATGGATTTACTGTAAGGTTAGCCTGGTAATATTAACTGCACCATGAAATGTGGGATATACATATTGTATAATATTATTAATGTAGACAATGTATTATGACTAATGGAATATAAGTAAAGTATTTAATAATGTATTTAACTGTTAGGCTATTGTTTTTCATACAAAAAAATACAGAAACCATAAAGTTATGCCATTATAGTGAGGAGCTAAGTTATAGGCTATAACTGGTTTTATCTGTGGTCATCATGATCTAAAAATGCATGATACTGGATGACCAATGGTTAATTTGAATACAACTCAAACAGTCAGAATATTACTTTTTACCACATAAAAATATGGTTGTTGCATAGGAAAAAAACAACAACAAAAAAACAGATGTTACTGTTTTTGTTAATGAACATAAATTTAAAGAGTAGTTTAAAAACACAATTAACACTCTGGTTTATACAACTTTCACTTAGTTACAAAAATCTGCCTTTAAACATTAAAAAAAAAAATATTTGACATATATCGTGATAATTATCGATATCGACTGATATAAAAAAAATTATCGTGATAATTTTTTTGGGCCATATCGCCCAGCCCTAAGTAATCCCTTTAATTAAATTACAATATTCAGATTACTTGGTAATTAATTACACCCAACGCCTCTTTTTGTCTGGCGCTGTTGCCATGGTGACTCATAATATCTGCGCTCCATTGATAATGGCTTTTTATAGTTGTGGTGCACGCGCTTAAAGGGTTAGTTCACCCAAAAATGAAAATTAAGTCATTAATTACTCACCCCCATGCTGTACCAACCCCGTAAGACCTTCGTTCATCTTCGCAACACAAATAAAGATATTTTTGATTGAATCTGAGAGCTGGATCAGTCCTACATAGACTGCCTAAGGGACTGGCTCTTGACGGCCCATAAAGTCATTAAAGAAAAGGTTTAAATATCACATGTGCCTACAGCGGCTCAATTATAAGTTTATCAAGCGACGGGACTACTTTTTGTGCGAAAAAAACATAAAAAACAACTTAATTCGACTATTCTATTACTTCCTTCCAAGGTACTGGATCAACTTCACTGACACTGGACTTACATTCACTGACATGTTCAGGATTTGAAGTATCACAGACCATTTGACAGAAATGTCTATATTGTGCATTCTTTGTTTATTTTAAAGGTTGATGTAAAGGGGCTTGTTCGTTAATAAAATAAATAGTTTGTTAAAACCACTGTTTGTATTTTGCCTTTTTTTTTACTCTACAATAAACAGAATTCTGCACTGTACAATTTCCAAATTTGCAAACTTCATATAAGTGATGTTGGTCATCTAAACATGAAATCTGTATGACACTTTTTATAAGAAGTATAATGTGTATAAATCCTATATGACTTTAATTTGACTAGCATATGATTCAATATAAGAACTTTAAATGATTTGTATATGAATTTAAGTTATTTTCTAATAAAAGCACATACCATTGCATAGGTTTGTCATGTAAAACTCATATGATTCAATATAAGAACTTTAAATGATTTGTATATGAATATTGTGTGTTTTCTACAAATACCCATTCCATACTTTTGTCATGTACAACTCATATGAGACTTCTACAGTATTCATATATGACACAAAAATCCCCTATGAGTTATTTAGTATGAAAGGGGCCATAATCGGTCTGATTTTGTATAGGACATGTATTGGTCTTACATGAAACACATAAGGTAATTCTGGCCACTTTCAGTTAGGAAGATATATGGTTGCTGTATATGAACCATGCTGTTTTTTTTATATGGGTGTGTGGATGTCCTCAGTCAGCTAAACCCCGCAAAGATCAACAAGCACATCTTTTTTTTTTTTTTTTTTCTGACCTTACTGTGAGTGTCAAGTTATACTAGTTAGACCGTTTTATAGGTTATAATTTTCTCATACCGGTTGTTGGTACGCTAGCACACCCTGTTCCTGGCGGCACACCAACACTGTTTCCATAATCAAACACACCTGATTCAACTTATCAGCTCATTAACCCGTCTATGAGCTGATGAGTTTAATCAGGTGTGTTTGCTAAGGAAGACAAAGAATACGCGCAGTGTTGGTGTGCCGCCAGGAACAGGGTTGGGAAACACGCCATAACTAAAATAGAAGTGAATAGAGACCTACCCAGCTTTGCATAAATGGACAAATGAAACAATGAAGTCAAAAGTCGCTCAACCTCTCATAATACTCTAAAAGCAGAGAATACTCTCTGTGGAGCAAAACTTTATATATTGTTCCCTTATTGTATTATTATAGAGGAGCTCGGGCGACCCATTATACAACATATCATTTTATGATTATCCAAAGCGACTTATAGCCTAAATGAGGAGTTTTTTTTAATGCGTTTGAAGACGAAAAGTAAAGTCACGAACGCAATTCTTTCTTCCTTTTATCTTTACAGCAAGATGATGTTTAGGTGATCGTTAAATAAAGTACAGAATTGTTTATTATTGGTGTTTTGTCTATTCTTATTTGTTTTGCTTCGCATTCAAAATATCAAAAAACAGGTTTTGCAATGCTATAGCATCGTAATGTTAATAAGACGACCATTATTGGTTGAACCGAAAGAAAAGTTGGAATTTGAATAAAAAAAAAAAAACATCGTAGCAATATCTATCACATACTATTTTTCAGAAGATAGTTCCCAGACAGCAAACTGACAACGAAATGCATCCGCCGCGGAGGTTCAGTGAACTTCGGAACGGATCAAGCGGATCCGAAACTGAGTCCGCTTGCACACCGCGGCGGATACGACACGGTGGTGGCTCGCGGATCCGGTCCGACATCGCTGCGGTCCCTTTACGTATCCGTACTACATAAATAGGTACATCCGCCCCGGCTTCGCTTTGGATCCGCGAATGAGCCATATCCGCTCTAGGTCCGTTTTGGACCCGTTCATATGAGGATCGTAACCATCCTGCCCGGGTCCATTTTGGACCCGTTCATAAAATTTCGTCTGCAATATTTTATTTGTGCAATATTTTGGTATGTGATACATTACATGTGGTTGATGCATTTTAACCAAAGCCTACACAGTTTGCTTTTTAAGGCAATTTTTCTCAACAATTATATTTAATAAAAAAAGGTAGAGTACAATAATACTTACTTATTCAATAAATGCAGTGAATGTTGTTTTTAAACAGTTCTAAGTGCTTTAGCAAGACTATTGTAAGTAGTGCTACAAAAGGAGATGTTCTCTGATTATAAATATGCTACAGGCCACTGGAATTCCCAGACAGCAAACTGACATTGAATCAACGTGGAAACGACGTCTCTCATGACATTGAAACAACGTTGATTTTGCTCATCGAATTAACGTTGAACCAACGTCAGACGCGGCATTCTTCAAAGCTAAATGAAAATCGAAAATTGGTTTGCTTTCATAACGTTGAAACAACGCGTTGATTTCAAGTTGATTTTCCGTTAGTTTTGAAAGAATGACGCGTCTGACGTTGGTTCAACGTTAATTCGATGAGCAAAACTATGTCAGATCAACGTTGTTTCGATGTCATATTTCCACGTTGATTCAAAGTCAGTTTGCTATCTGGGTTTGTAAAGGGCATGTCTCTGAATTGGAAAGCAAAGTGTAGCTTGCGACAGACTATTTAAATCAAAACTGAAACAATTTGAAAGAAATAAAACAACACATTTTATTTAACAAAACAACTCATTAAAAAATAGACTAATCATAGGCTTCAGCCTGGTTAGACCGGTTGGTCAGGCGCCTCCTCGCCGCACCATGGTCTGCAGCCAAGTTGAACCAT